AATAGGTATAAAATAAAAACTATGTATCCCCTACAATTTATTACTTAAGATGTCCAGGAATGAATCTACTGGCACTTTGGAACAATTTCTTTCTTCTGTGCTTCATTGTTTACTACTTTTCCAACTTCAGTGAGACTTTTTCTATTCCACATGCTCCTTAAATATGCCTGCAGCTTTGATCCAAAACTCCATCCAAGATTGCCCAGACTCAGCTTAAGCCAGTGTAAAAAGGTCATATATTGATTCAGACAAAATTAACACTGCAACAAAAAAATTTAATTACAATCGCACCTAAACAAAAATCTGATAGCAATGCAAGCTGGAACAACCACATTTTGGTGTGTTATGTCTAGATCAAAACATCCAAAACACACCTTGTACATGCTTGTCTAAGCTACGAACACCCAAAACCAGAATGTTTTGTACAAAGATCTCTAGATTAAAACTCCAACTAGCAAATCTATAGTTGCTATAGCTGCAAATTCTAAACAAAGAATACATGTCATTATATACACTAATGGAAGTTTATTGCCTGCATCCAAGTTACAGAGAAGTAAAATAAACCCTCCCCGTATGTTAATTTACCATAAGCAAATTTGAATATCTGTGGGTTGTTTCCTGTATGTCAATTTACCTTATGTAACCTGCAAAATCTGAGTATTTACAAGGTCAGGAAGAACCTAGGTGGTGATGTGCATTGGCATAATTTTCTCAAAAAGAGAGTGAAAACAGCCACATGGTGCAATCTTGTTCTTTGTTCAGACAGCTTCTATTATAAGCAGACATATCTAGACTTGCACTCATAATCTTCAGTAAGTATTCTGTGCTATTATTTATTATTGCTTATTTGGTCTATTATCCCCATTTGAGTAAATGCATTTAAGTAAATGCATCCTCAGTTTTGCAAGGAATTACTGTACAGAATTTATTGACAGCACAAGATGACATGGAAAAGAAAGATTTACTGGTTGTCTATATCTGGTGACTGTCGATAAAGCTGATACCAATTGTTTTGGAGCTCAAAACAAATAAGTCAATCCAAGGTAAGGTCTCTTGCAATGCTTTTAATTCTTTGTTGACAGAATGATTATTTCTTAATCAGAGTCCTTACAAGAGAAGAGGATGATAAAGAGAAAAAGAATGACTAAATCAACAAAGACTCTACTAATAGGACTATTACATCAGATGTCACTGTGTTACTAATCATCAATGATTCAAGAAGGTAAACCTGAGCAGTATTAACTATGTCCAGGTGATAAAAGAGAAAGGAAAAGTAAAAACCACAGCTATTTTTAGAATTAAGCAAAAAAAAAAAAAAAAAACTCAAGAATTAAACCTATAGGTTTGGATCTAGCTAAATCTACACATTTTCAAAACAACTAAGTATCAATAGAAAAAGATTCTGGTTCCTGAAAATTACCTAAATCAAAGAGTTTGGAACAATGAGCACATTTCATCCTAGAGAAGAAAGAAGAATGGCAAAAAATGCCCATGGCTTAGGGCAGACATAAGCAATTTAAGATCCATTATGACTATGCCAAACACAGTTCACCAAACATGTCTGGTAATAAAGCCAGAAAAACAATGCTAAGTTTGCTACGTACCTGAAGTGGAAGGATGAGGTTGGATAGTTAAAGCACATTAAAACCTATCACAGTACATCTAGGTCATAGCTGGTTAGAGTGGTATGGGTTACAAATTTTACGGGCTTGGCGGAAATCAAATCCAGTTGGATCTGGGGTTCAGATCTGAATTCTCTGCATTAATTTACCATGTGCGTCTATGAAAAAGAAACACATTCATAGCATAATATAATAAAAACCTTTAATGACAAATCCAAATCTGCAGAGTATCAGCTTATTACTGCCCTAAGTGCCAGTAACCTACAAATCATAGCTGCTCGATCTGCATACCTAGAATTTCCTCAATGCACAAGATGTGAGCATGAAGTCAGAAAGTGAGTAACAGAAGTTAAAAATGAGCACTGAATGAGAAACAATGCCGAAGGTGGTTAACAACCTGGAACCCTGACAATAGGAGTTAAAAGGCCATGAGCTTCTTTTTCTAATACCATGAATCAGTTTTTTTAAATTAAATGTTCTTTATTCAGATAATTATCTTACTTACTTCATTTTGCAAACAGCTGTTTGAAAACTATACCAAAGGTTATTAATAATCTTACTTAAACAATAAGAGGTTAATAAGAGAGATCTTATTAAAAGAAAATGCATTACCAGCAGATTTTCTCATATGGAAGATTATATTTAACTGTGGACTTCTAGTAATTCTGTCAAGTAACAATTAGGCATTGCATGTATGATTCCTCTACCCAACCCCTTTTCTAAACACTTTAACTGAGAAGATTATATATTCAACCCAGATAGATTTAGTTGTTCTTCCTCCATCTTGATCACCTGAGCAATACTGTCAGATTAGTCTATCTGAATCAAAGACTGGTTTGAATTACCATTAAATACAAAGATTCACATCCATGTCTTTAAAACCTTACACTAATCCTGGTTTATTTTATGTAATGCTAGAGGAGGGAGAGATTTTGGAATAGCATAGTCTAGCAGCAAAGACTGTTTTCAAAATTTATTTTATAGACAGAATCTTATAAATATACAATTTGAGATTTTCTCAGAAAATCATAATTATACCATAGGCTAATAAACAGGGTATTTGTGATGTTTTGGAATTCCACATTTTCATATTCAAGTATTTTAAATGATTGTTGCAAAATACCTTATTATAAAATGGGCCCAATAAGGATTCCAGCCCCGACTTGGATCCCTTAGTCAAAGTTGGCAACTGTTCTCCAAATGCTGCATTTCTCCAAATTTGCTGACTTTGACAAGGTCAGGCTTTTCAAGGATTCAGCCTCTAGCTTCCATTTACATAACCCTACATCCTTTCCATTTTTAACAAGCACTGCTTGAAAGGTGAGAAACAGGTCACCAATCCTGAAGTTTTGGCAGTAGGCCTCTTTTTCCCTCAGTAGCACAATTACAACAGCTAAGAAAGAGATTCTGTTTTGAAGTTCCCACCTTGTGTCTATGGAGAGGATAGATGAATTAAGAAAAGGATGCTAAATAATATTGAGATTGGTAATCCTCCCCCCCCTCCCGCATTTTCAGGAAAGGAGGCCTTGTTTGACATTTTTTATTTCAGGTTTCACCTCCTTTCAGAGATACAAATCAAAGGCATTTAAAACAGCATATCCTGAAGAACCAGTCTGAGATTCCATAAAAGCAGTAAAATCAAGCTCCCTTAACAGAAGCAAATATACAAAAGCAATAGTATAAAATAGAAAAAGAGTTGGCAATAATGGAATAATCTAGGATTTCTAAATGGTGGGGTTTTTTTGGTTAGCTTCTATGCCCCCTTCCTTCCTTTTCCTTAACAAATTTCCTTCTCTTCAAACTCTTTTGAGTTATCAAAACCTTTTTTTATCACAACTGTTCCCACTGTCCTTTTCAATTCCGGCTATTTGGGGTTTTAAATGAAAGCTCATTTGCTGCTCTTGCTCCACAAAATAAAAAAAATAAAAACTTCCATTTTTTTTTTTTTTTTTTGGTGAAAAAGTTGGTGAAATCATCCCAATGGAAGAAAAGTTTAAAAAGAAAATCCAAAAGAAAAAGGGAGGTGTTCCAGATGTTTAACAGAAGATCTAAAAGAAATTATTTCAATCCACTTCTATTAAAAAAAAAAAAAATAGGGAAGCCACTGCTGCTGTCCTGGCAATTTACCTGGGACCAAGTTTAGTTACACTTCATGTGGTTTATTTTAAGCCTGTTTTTCCCAGAATGGAATGGTTACTTGGATGTGTGGAATGTAATTGGGACACTAAACTTTCCCTGAATTGAAATAAAATATATGAATCTCCTTGGCATTAATCCTCACACAAATGCTACATCCCTTTACTGTTACCCTCCCCCCAAAGTGTTGAATCTGTTGCAATTTCTGTCTCCCGGTCAATTAATCTTGTTCCTAATAAAAGGCCTCCTATACTAAACTAAGGCAGGAGTTAAACACATGACTCCAGCAACAATTTCTCCCCCTCTCCCCTTAATTCAAAGGGCCCTTTACAGCCATTGGGGGGAGGAAAAGGGGGGGATACCAGCAGCCCCGTTTCTAAAAAATCTCTGAAAAAAACAGCAGAACCAGTAGTCCACCACAATTGAGCTCAAAATTTCTGTTGCTAAGCAAGACAGTTCAGTGAGTTTTGCCCCACTTTATGACTTTTCTTGTTACAGTTAAGTGAAGCAACCCAGTTGTTGTTAGTAACACAGTTAAGTAAATCCACCTTCCCCATTAACTTTGCTTGTCAGAAAGTTGTAAAAGGGGAATCACATGAGCTTGGGACACCACGGCAACCGTCCTAAATATGAGTCAGTTACCAAGTATCTGAATTTTGATCACGTGAGCCTGGGGAATGCTGCAAGGGTGGTTAGGTGTGAAAAACCGTCACAAGTCACTTTTTTTCATGCCGCTGCAACTCTGAATGGTCACTAAATGAGCTGTTGTAAGTCGAGGACTATCTGCAATAGGTTAAAGTACACCACTGAAAAGAAGCCGCCATAGCACGATCCTCCGTGCCCTTTTTCAACCTTTTCGGGGGTAATTTCCACTGCAACCGGTGCCTGACTTCCGAGTAAACATGCGCCCAGGATGAGGCGGCAATCCAAATTCAACCTAATTTAGGAGCAAGAGCTTCCGAAGAGAAGACTCACAAAAAGCCGCCTGAAATTAGGCTGCGAAGGACGAGGAAAAGCGGTGGGGGAGCCAAACTTTCACGGCGGAACGTTGCATAATTCAAGATGCGCAATTTCCCCTCCTTCTCCGCTTCCTCGGCGAGATCATCACACACGTACACACACACACATATTTCCCCCCCCCCGCTCCCGTCCATTTCCGAGAGGAACCTGAAGCCATCCCAGGCAGAGGAGACTGTTAATGAGGGGAATCAGCCTAAGCAGAAGGCATTCCTTGGGCTTTACCTTCGTTCAACCCGGAGGGATTGGTCCTTCCTTCCACAGTGCAAGGATGTTGGACGGAAACCAGGGTGGTAGTTTGCAATCCTAAGAAAATCAACTCCAAAGAGGGAATTCCAGGGAAGGGGGAAAAAAAACAAAAACCCCAAGCAAACCAAAAACTCCAGTCAAACAAAAAACAGGGGAATTTATTGCAACGGGCAAGTTGATCTCTTTAACCGCACCGAATACCTCGATCGTCGGGAGGATAGCGACAAAAAGAAGAGCCAGGGATTCCTGCAGTGAGACTCCGCCGCTGCCGCCGCGACCTCAACAAACGCCCTGCACTCCGGCGGGACTCGCGCGGTTGAGTACCGTCCTATACCGAAAGGAGTCGGAAAGGTTTCCCCTGGCGGACGCGGCTGAGTACTACACTCTCCCCAGGCAATGGCCAAGCCGACCGAAGGGAACGTCGCTCAAGTTTTCCTCTTCAATTTCAGCGAAGGAAGGATGGCGGATTAAAAGCAGAAGCCGTGGAGGAAAGCGGGAAATCCTCTGGATCGTGGAGGGTAGTCCCTCTGAAAATGTTTGCAAAAGCAAAAGGTGAAATCTTATGCAATGACCCAGAAGTGCTAGCTCTTAGAGGAAAGCTGAAAAGAACAAGAGTATGTTTGTCATCTTTGATTTATTTTTATTTTTATTGTGCTTTTAAGTCCATGTGGATTCTTGCTAGCTGCTTGCACAAATTCCTACAATTTTCTTGGCAAGAGTTTGGACGAGCCATGCCATTGCTTTTTACCTAGGGCTGAGAGAGGATAACTGGCCCAAGGTAATCCAGCTGGCTTTGCCTAAGGCAAGATTAGAACTCAAGGTCTCCAGGTTTCTAGTCTGATGCTTTAACCATTACACCAAACTACCTCTCAGTCTCTGAATATTGAACTACTTGATTTAAATTCTGATAAGTCTTCTCTGTTTGGAATTCAGGGAGGAACATCAGATGAGATATAAGAATATAAAAAGAGTTATGTTGAACTAGACCAGGGGTGGGCAACCTTGGCTCTTTTATGACTCGTGGACTTCAACTCCCAGAATTCCAGCTGGCTCAGGAATTCTGGGAGTTGAAGTCCACCAGTCATAAAAGAGCCAAGGTTGCCTACCCCTGAACTAGACAATAGGCTCATTAAATACCCATAGTTATAAACAGTATTGTTAGAGAATTTTAATTTCTCTGTTGGTGAAAAATAAATCAGAAGTTCTCACAGTTGACTGCATTTAGCTGATTCAAAATAACTTTATATTTATATCAAAATATTTACAATACCATACATTCTTCTTTACAGCCACATAGCTCAATTGAAGACTTCTTACAGAGAGATACAGAGACAAACCTGAGACTGGAAATCCAGCTCCTAACTTAATACTTTTTTTGCACAGACTCAGTAGCACTTTCTTCACATTGGCTGACTGAGTTACCACATGACTTTTCCTACTCATGAATATTCCAAGACGTATGGAGGACAAAGGCCATAGCATCCTTTCATTTGTGTATCTCAATATTTCAGTGTTCTGTTTCAAAACACAGTCTTCAACTTACAACCACAATTGGGGACAGAATTCCCACCACTAAGCAAGGTGGTTGTTAAGCGTCCAATTTTGTGACCTTTTTTTGCCGAGGTTGTTAAGCAAATCACTGCAGTTATTAAATGGGATCATGCAATTGTTAAACGAATCTGGCTTTCCCCCATTGACTTTGCTTGTTGAAAGCTGGCTGAATAAGGTTGCAAATAGCAATCATATGAATTCTGCAACCATGGTAAATACATGCCAAGTGCCCACGCTTTAATCATGTAGCCATAGGATGCTGGGATGATCATAAATGTGAGGACTTGCTTCTGTCCTCACATAAGTGAAGTTGTAAGTTACATTTTTCAGTGCCATTGTAACTTCAAATGATTGTTAAATGAATGGTTGCAGGTCAAGGACTATCTGTAATTTACTTTTTTTAAAAAAACAAAAACCTGCCAAATTGGTGGCCAAATGGAAGGAAATTTCTTCCATTATTGGGTAGGAAAAAGTAGTTTATTCCCATTATAGAGAGGGATTCTTTAGCTTTTTGTCCCATCATTTCTTTGAGGGATTCAGAGCAATATGTATATTTCCCTAGACTTTTGTGATCACAAGAAAGACTGGGTTCATGTATCATGATAAGCCAAAAAAAAAAGAGATCTGATTTTGGGATAGGAGTTAACATATGTCAATTTAGCTGCTGTGGCTTATTCAGCAAACCACAGCTAAGGGCAATGTGTGAATCCAGACAAAATTAAGACTGCAGACCCTTCTTCCTTTCTGTTCTTTCCTTTTTGCTTTAACAGGAATATGGATAACCATAAGGCACTGGAGGATATGTCTTGGCTTTGTGTGTATATTGGTTTTTTCTAGTCTTTCATTGGTTAAAAAGAATAAGATTTCTTAACATTGTACGTTCTTAGTTTGGAAGAAGCTCTTCTGCAAATACTGAAATATCTTGTTAAGTGAACTTGCAAGGTATTTGCTTTCACCACATGTTTTCCCCTCCCTGTGGAGGGAAAGACATGATTGTGTAAGGGGGCTCCACCAAAACGATTAAGGTCACATTCTACAATTACATCATTGTATCATTAGATATACACCCTTGTTCTGGAGATGTACAGGAAGGGGAAAAGCAGTTGTTCAGAGCTGACAGAAAATTATTTTTCATATTCTTCACAATTCTCAGAGAGTTCCTTTTGTTAACTGTTGTGAAATTGTAAAATGTTTTATTTTAAAATTGTACATATTCATCTAAACAAAACACACAAAATGTATGGAGTTTGGTATCGTATGGGCTTTTGCCCAAATCTGATACAAACCTAGAACTGCCTTTGCTTATAAGACTGGATGAAAAAGTGTGGTATAATATTCAGGCTGTTGGTCTAGGATTCAAGAAAGATAGATTGAAATCCATGTTGATTGTAAGGCTACCTACATTAGATATTTCCCAACCCTCCAAGAAATAGTAAACCATGGAGTTCAGCTTTAACATGTTCCAGATATAAAATTTGATTCTAATGGCAGTGAAACCTACAGTAATCTTGTAACAAACTAGCCTGAAAAAGGAAGTGAAACAAATAGAGAATTTCCCATAATTTGCTTCCATGCCATAAAAACTTTCACTAAAAATTTTCTAAATGTCTAATTGTGATCAAAATAGGTATCAGGGTCCCATTAAAGGAACAGAAGTATTGGCTTTATAAAAGAAAAACCGAGTTAGCGAATCTCAAGTACCTGCTCATAATTAGCTTCCGGATAAAGGCAAAGTTCCTATGATGGATTTTGGCTTCCATTATATGTACTCCAGGGGGGTGGGGATGTCAAAAATTCAAGTCAGCGACTGACTTCTCTCTATGATTGAAGCCTTCCCCATTTTTTAAAGTGCAGTCATAAACTTGGCTTTTTTGACCTCTCCCTGCAGACATCCCAGTGTCTCTTTGCCAGAATGATTTGTTAATTGGACTCTGGCATCAATCCTGAATAAAAACTTGATATTTGATGCAATTTAAAGGAAGAGAAAAATAGAAAATCTGCCTTTGGAGACAAGTCTATTATTCTGGGCTGATACTTATTCCTGCCTACTTGTTTGTAAATCTGTTCCCTAATTTAAACACTTTAAAAGCTGAGATTATCCTAAAATGCAGCCAACATGGTTCAAGATGATTGAAATTATTTATGCCCAAAATGTACTGAAGTAAACTTTAAAGTGAGAGTTCAGAATAAAGGGAGCTATTGTATCCTAAGTCAAAGAAGGACTGAGCATGTTATCAGGGAAGTGAGTCCAAAATAAATGCAAAAAAATGTGTTCTATGACTAGGGCGAACATAACTTTTTAAAGATGATTTTAAAAACAAAATAACCAATTTTAGAAAAATGAAACTTTCCTTTATTTTAGTTATCAAATATACAAGCAACAGGCAAGGGAAATAAAAAGGACTAAACTGAAAAAGTAGTATTGGGCATCTTCAGAATATATTTGTAAAAGAAAAATAATTAACCATGGAAAGGCTTTCAAACTCAGTAGTAAATCTATTGATCTATGTTCTTGTCTATACCTTTTCTCATTATTCTGCTATCAAAATGTATTTATTCTTCTTGTTTTGATCATGTGATAGCTCTCAAGCATCAGGCCATGTTTTATAAAGGTGATACTTTAAAAATAACTATGGCCATTTTAAGTGATTTCATTGTTTGGCATTTCTTTTTATTGTACTTAAGAGTTTTTGATACTTGACCAAGATTTTTTATGTTACTTTCCCAGTCCATCCTTCCTGATGGCCAGGTTCATACAACATAGTTAATTCTAATAATATGTTATGCCAAAACAAACACACCACATGCTTTAATGTGATAAACTCATTCACACATTTAAGACAATGGCTCAGTTATTACATCCTGTTGAATGATAAACTACTCAGTCCATTTTAATGGATTTTAGTCTATGCTATTTATGGTGGAATCCTTTCCAATATATCAAAGTTCAACTTCCATAATCTTCCAATCATTAGCCATACTGTCTTAGGAAATTATGGGAACAGCACAAGATTGAAGTACCTAAATCAACAAATGCTTTGTGGATGGTCTTAAGGTTCTTGAAACAGCTTATTAACTACAATGGAATCTTTAATAGTTTTTATTATGGTTTTTAACATTTCTAAATCACAGAAAACAGTTGTTCTTTATTCAGACTGAACACCCCCCCATCCCCCACACATATTTTAAGAAGTATTCAAAACAATTAGAACCAATTTAGATCTAGGCAATTACAAGACTAGAAGTCAAGTCCTAGCAAGAAAAATTGAAGGTACTATGAATATTTAGCTTTCAGAAGAAAGGATTTTTGGAGGATATGATAGCATTCTTTAAATTCCTTGAAGAACAAGACGTGTTATCTACAATTCCAGAATACAGAGCACAGAATGATGGATTTAAATTATAGGAATAGAGATTTTAGAATATTAGAAATATTCTATATTAGAAAATAATTTCTAATATTAATCTATTATCCCAAAAAGTAGTGAGTTCTCTCCTAATGGAAAACAACAACAACAATGGCTTCAAGCAAAGTCTAGGCAGCCATCTGTCAGTGGCTCATTAATTTGGATGTTTGTGCTGAGTAAGGAGTTAAAACTATGCTTCTGTGATTCAGTAACCTCCAGTTATTCTGGAAGCGATGTTAACCTGCTTGACTCTTAATTCCCTTTTAATTATTCTCCAGGGCTCCAATGCTTTCTTCTGAGAAATGAAAAGAGACAGCTTAATTGTGAACCTTTGTCAGAAGCTGGAAAATTGGCAAGAATACACACTGTGAAAAAAAACAGCAAATTAGGTGAAATCTGGCCCAACAGTTAAAAGCAACTACATACTCACAATGTTTTGAATAATTATTGCATTTTTCTCCATATGGGTGCTCTAAAGCATGTGAAATAGTCTCTACCTACAAAATTAGTGCTGAGCTTCTTGCTTTAAATCACAATTTTTTTTCCTAACGAATCCTTCCCATAAAGCAAAGAAGAAAACTACACAATGAAATCTTAATGAAGAAGTCTTTTAAAGCAGGGGTCTTAAACTTGGCCCTTTTATGACTTGTGGACTTCAACTCCCAGAATTCCTAAGCCAGGCACACTGGCTGAGGAATTCTGGGAGTTGAAGTTCACAAGTCATAAAAGGCCCAAGTTTGAAGACCTCAGTTTTAAAGCTAATAAAGGAGACTGCTAAGGTTCCTTAAGGTTTCATATGGTTCTAGAACAGTTCTAAGACAGTTGTAGCTAAAACAAAGCTTTTAAAATAGGAGTGTAGTAAAGCAGAATAAAAGTTATGTAAGACATCCTCTAATCTTAGAACACTTTAGCATATAACAATCTCTCACCACTCTTGGTTTATCTTGTACATTAAGCAGGGTTGGTATGAGTTAGTATCTGAAGAAACACTCAATCATTCCAGAATTGTAGAGTCACCTTTTAGGGGAGATTAGTGGCACAAAAATTTAATAAATAAGTATTGTAGTGTGGGAAGTAGAAAAAGCATGCTGAAAACAACTGGAAGAAAACAATGGCAGAACATTTCTGTAATACTGCCAAGAATTATCTAAATGCCATCACTAGGATTTGAACTCAGCTAACTACCTTCAACTTCAGCTTTCAGATTCAAAAGCTGGAATATTTTTCTTTTGTAAAATAGAGTAAAATGTTATCAACTGGAAGTACTCCCAGACATTTTGCTCTGTACATAGCATCTCTCCCACAAAATCCATATTCGGTTAAATTGTTTTGAAACACGAGGCAAAAAATTGTAAATGCCTACTTCTGGCAGCCAATAGCACAATTATCATAAATTACATAGCTAATAATTGCTTTTTGAGATATCTACCATTAGCTGCCTCAAGTAGTCATATCAATTTTCTGAATTCAGCTTTCCATTGTTTTTCATTTTTATTGTGGGATCCCTTTGAACTCATGTTAAAATTAAAGACCAAGAGAAATAATTCAGAATTTCTTAACCAGTATGAGAAATTTAGCTTGCTGTGTAACTGGAGTAGGAATAATGCTTATTTAAGAAGAAAAATACTTAATCAGATCAAACCAAAGTCTGTTTTGTCCAGCACAATTCCATGAATGCCCACTAAAAATTAATCAGTGTTGCATTGCACTTTTGGTAAACATACCTGCTTAATGATTCTTAATCTATTTTTCAGCAGCATATGTAATTCAAGACTACCCATGAACAAGAAAAAGGGAACCCAAGAATTTAAGCTATACGGAAAAGAAAATCATTTGCAAATATTAATTCCCGTGAACCACCCAAAAAATAATTGTAGTTTGGGTTTCCAAACTGTTTAAACCTGAATGGCTGACTGGAGGATTGTTGGCATGATATTCACACCTTTTTTCTTCAACCAGAAACAAAAATGACAAGATGAAATCCTGAACCAAGGTAGGACAATTCTTCATTGATAACTAATAAACAGGTAGTCCTCACTGAACGATGACACATTCAGAAATCATTCAACATTACAATGGCACGGAGCAAGGAAGATTTACAAAGGGTGCTCATAGTTGCAGCTGTTCCAATGTCCCTGCAGTTATGTGATGACTCATAATTTTGACAGTCACAGTGTTCTGCAGTCACACGATTACCATTTGCGATCTTTGCTGTTGACTTCTGATCAGCAAAGTCAATGGGGAAGCTAGCTGATCACAAATGGGGGATGCCACAACAGCAGAGAATTTATCTAACAAGACCGTGAATTCAAGTCCTGCCTTAGCCATCAAAACCAGCTGGGTGACTTTGGGCCAGTCACTGTCTCTCAGCCCCACTCACCTCACAGAGTTGTTGTTGGAAGGAAAATAGAAAGGGGAGGTACGTTGGATATGTTCACTACTTTATTTGTAAAAATAAAAAAGGTGGGATATAAGCAAATAAATAAATGAGACTGTCGTAAATGCTGCTGACACATTCATGTGATGTACTTTACAACTATATCACTTAGCAATGCAGTTGCTGGTTCCAATTACCATTTTAAAGCAAGGATTATCTATATTTGCAATGAGAGCCAGTCTGGTGTAATGGTCAAGAAACTAGGCTAGAAGCAGGGAGACCAAGTTCTATTTCTGCCTTACGAATGAAGCCATCTAGGGCAGGGGTCCCCAGCTCCCCGTCTGTGGACTGGCACCAATCCACAGCATCCCAGCAAACGAGCCACACAAACAAGCAAAGCCCCATCTACAGGATTCAGGCAGTACACAAAACCACACCCCCTCTGGTCCGCCAAAAACCTTTCTCCATGGCACCGGTCACTGGTGCCCAAAAGGTTGGGGACTTCTGATCTAGGTGACCTTGGGCTAGTCACTCTCTCTCTGCCCTCTACAGCAGGCAATAGCAAACCATTTCTGAAAATCTTAAGAAAACTGCAGGGATCAACCCAGGTAGTCACCAAGAGTCAATATTAACCGGAAGGCTTAGTTCCCTCTAATAATCTGTAATGAATTCCACAATTGAGTCCCCTTGTTGATATGGGTAGAAGTAGGGAATGTATTAATCAGTTAAGCTTTTTTTTAATTCATTCTGACTTGAACAAGTTTTGATTATGGTTTTAAAACTTGCAATCTGGCTGCTTGAAAGCTCTCCTACTTTAATGAAGACCGGCCTATACTGTACATAGTATCTATTGAAACATCTCCTATCTTTTCCAGAGATTATAGAGAGTAGCTGCTCTTCTTGACTGTGACCCACTGAGTATTTTTTCCCCTATGGAGAGATTGCCATTGCAACTATACACAAGGGGTATTTTATTCTCTTGGGAATTTAAAACTCTGGTTTTATTGGTTTTATATATAGTTAAATTTTGTGATCACAATTTCAATTTTATCTGTGCGGTTCCGACTGATTATAGGTCTTAGAAAGAGTAATATTTAAAATTATTTTTGTACAGGTAGCCCTTGACTTACAACCATAGTTGAGCCTGGACTTACACTGGAAACCTGCAAAAAAATGTCCTAAATTGTGGTTACATGTCTGTGGGAAGCTGGAAACATCTGAAATGGTGAGCTGGCTGTCAAGCACCCAAAATGTGACCACATGACTCTGTATGTGTATGTGTTGATTTTGAAAATGGGTAGTAAATAGCTTTTTTTGGAGGGGGGAAAACATCATAAATTTAGGGCTACCTACAGTGAAAGATGCCCAATTAAGCACTTTCTATGAAACTCTTAATTTGCTGTTGTTGCTGAAGATCATTGTTTCAATCATCCTGAAGAAAAGAGAATTTTGTGGCAGCTGTAAATTTGCTTAAAGCTTGCAGGAAGAAATATATTCTTGCTTAAATGTTAAAAATGCCAACAGAACATTTTTAATAGCTTAATTTAATATTCAACCATAACGTATGGAACACAAATCAAGGTCATATAACTATTTTGTCACATAAACATGCAAGACAAAAGTGCATCAAAAATTGGTGAGGTTTTTAGTATTTACATTCCATAATGAATAAAGATGATATTGTAATTTGTTTCAAGTGACTGTTTTCTTTTTGTAATGCCAGTTGTATTTGTCAAAATACATCACAATACAGTTAGGTGCAGAATTGAATAATGTGCGTTTAGTGTGGTAACATTCTTGTATACATATTCGTGTATTCTTTCATTTTTTGAAGGACTGAAAGCATGAAAAATACATAAAAACCTACAATGCATCCAGTTTAAATCAACATTTGTTAAACCAGTGTCCATCAGATGTTTAGTACTACAAACCCTTCATCCAGCCAGTAAGGAAGAGAAGGCCAGATACGTTTTTCAAAGTCTATTTCAGACAAAGTAAACTGAATGCATGAACAACAGTGAATACTGATTCAGATAATGAATTAGTTAATGATAATTTCAATAGTAAGGTATAGTTGCATACATTTGTTTTAAAATAATCCCTGGAACTATCACAAGATTTTTTCTGAAAAGTGCAAACTTCTAAGTCACCTGTAGTTCTCCTCAAATATTTACTGTACCAGTATTTTAGAAAAATCCAAATACTTATTAGCAGAGTAAGCAATCAGGGCAAGATCCTTCAAGTGTGGCTATACAACTTCTAGAATTCCTTACTCCTGAATATCACTAGTAAAATTTCTGGAGATAGTGTTCAACTAGAGGATTACAAGCTCACCATCTCTGTTATTGTCTATTTATTGATTCATGAATGCCAAACACAACATATAGTTGCAATGTCAACTATTGAACTATTTGATTTCTTAATTTTAGTTGAGCACAACCATGACCTGAGCTATTTAATCTGTGATAAAATGTATTCTTAACATCAAATTACGTAATATTCACTTTTGGATTATTCCATATTTTGTTAAGAGGTAAGAAAATTTCCCTTCTATCTTTCCCCCCATCAATTTATAATTGCTTTGATAGTTTTCCCAATGCAAAATAGTACATCATTTTAGGAAAAAAAAATCTGATTCAGAGATCTAGGGAATCACGACAGCCACAGATTGGCAGAGACTGCCTTGTTCATTTCCCTTAACAAGAAAAGTTTGAAACTCGCAAGATGTAAAAGTTAATGGGGGAAACTTTTTGTAAAAGCAGTACGTATTCATTTCAGTCACCATACATAAACTGATCAGAAGAAAATGACTAGGATTCCATGAAAACACCAGTTCATATTATGAACGCTGAAAAACAGCATTAAACCTTGACCTGACAAGTGCATTTCCTAAATCATATTAAACACATACATATTGCACATAAATATATCTGCCTTTGGCATCTTCCCTTCACTGTAATTAAACCAAAAATGCACCGAAACATGTAACAGCAAATGTTTAGATTTTTTTACTTTATGAAACCTGCGTAATAAAATCAATATAAATATTCAATACCATGCAGACACAAAGAAGACATGTACAAAACAAGCAAAAGCTGATGTCATTTAAGAAAAAAAAGCAGAATTTTGTTACCATCCATCAGTTCATAAATATAAAGTAAGTATATTTATTTGGCTTTCATTCAGAGCACAAAAGTTACTTAACTCCAGTCTTTAGCAAAAGCCTAGCTTTTGCATTTACTTTGTGCTCTAATTATGTACAACTGTTGTCAGTCATTAAGCAATGTGACATCCCTTATAGCCTAACATAATCAGCAACAGAATGGATTTGCTGGGCACTAGTATGGTTGATGATACTTTACTAATTTAAAAATATTCTCCAGGATCATGTCCAATTCGAGTCATGTCCAATTCCAACTAAGAAGTCATTTTTCTAAGCAGAGTGTTTTATAGCTATATTTAAATAGTTAGATACCACCATAGGTTTCAAGGAGCTGTTGAAAAGTGTGACAAAAAGAAGAAAGTTGGTAGTATATAAAGCAGAGGTGGGGAACGATGGTCCTTTTATGTGGACTTCAACTTCAGCATGGCTGGCTCAGGAATTCTGGGAGTTGAAGTCCACAAGTCATAAAAGGGCCGTCATTCTCCACCTCTGGTCTAAAGCAAATCCCCATGGAATTTATGCTCTTTGGTCAGCATTTGACACTTGTTTGTAGTCTAGTATCTCAAAATAGAGAAGGAGCAAATGTCAAAAATGATAACACCAATGTGCTCTAATGAAAACCATTTTAAAACATTTCTGTTGTTTTATTGTTTTGAAAGCTCCAGTTAGCATTTTGACCAAACGTAATGATATTGTCTCTTATTATAAACAAAATGGAGCCTTTGAGTCTGCCTAAGATTTGAATAGATTTGACAGCAAATTGTCCTCCCTCTTCCTTCTACAGGCTGTAGTGTAAACTTACATTCAGTTGTAGTGGAGAGCAGCATGTGATCACAAAGAGAAGCATTGTTTTCCCTTTACAAAAACTTTTGAATAATATTATGAGGCTGCAACCAGCCCAGATTAAAAGGTCTTTAAAATGACATTAGGACATCGTGTTCTTGCATGCTGGTGTAAAAAGGTTGACCAAAAAGAAATGAATGTAAACCAGGTTTGAGCTTTTCGGCAAAAGCCATTATTATGTTAAGATCGCCCTCTGCTGTTAAGTCCAGGTCTATCTTCAAGTTACGAAGAGATTTAAAAGGCTTTTTGCCTTTTTGCCTGTAAGTTGGAGAACAAAGATGTGGTAAACGGAAAAACTTTAAAGCTATGTCAAGATACAAGATAGCCAACCCCATTGTTCCATTTAACTTTACAACTCACGTATCATCTTCGATGTATTTGATGAGAGTTAAGGCTTTTCTGTGAAGGACTAAGAGGAACTGGGCAAGAAACACATTTCTTAGAGACAATCCAGGCTTCAAATGAAAGACCTGTTAAGAATTGGCACATGCAAAAATCGTACCATGAAAAATCTCCTTTAACTAGAGTTCTCTTAGTGTTTTTCCATTCTCCTGCATATATTGCCTTTATTTTATTTATTTTTATTACACTTATAAACTGTTTTTTAAAAATATTTTGGTCCAGATCTCCAATAAATCAAAACAAGCATGACCAATCTCCAGGGATTATGAAATACTTGGAGAATTGCCCAGCCTTGCTTGATGTACCCTAAACACATTACATATTTTCTTTTCATGAAAAAAAATATGCAAAAAGGATATTTAATAAGTAATATGCCATATTATTAGTTTTAATTAACTGAAACATAGTTACCTGATCTAAGAAAGCTTTTACTAAGGTATCTTGGTGCTGAACATCTTGGAAAACATTCCTGCAGAAATACAGAGGAACAAAATAGAGCATAAAAAGAGAAAATTCTAGAACGTTGGAGACTATTTTAACTTGCAAAACAAAAAACAAAAGGCAAACGAGGGAGGACATAATAAAAGCGGTTAAAAAAAATCATGCATAACATGGAGCAATCCGGCAAGAAGTATTAATCTCTCTCAAATCAGGACCAGGAACCATCCAAGGAATCTAAATGTAGGAAGATTTAGGACAGACAAAGAAAACTGTTGTTCACACAGCACAGAATGTACTGTTGGAATTCATTACAAGAAAAAGTTGACGGCTGTTAAATTTGGAAAGCTTTTTTAAAAAAGGATTAAATAAATTCACAGAGAACAAATCTATCAGGGATTATTTAGTCTTGAGAATCAAGTATTGTCCGCAAACTGGGGGCAAGGTGTCTCCAATTCCAGAGGAACATTAGTAGAAGAGGACTATTCAGTTCAGAGGCGACTTGTGGTTCATTCTGAGAAGCAAGATGGTGAACCAAGGTGGGCCCACTCCTCACCCCCCCCCAAAAAGAGATCCTGCCTGTTATCTCATTGGGACAGGGAGATTGTTCTTGGGAGGGATGAGTAAGAACATCAGAAGTGATTGCCAGGAGTTATATATTTCTAGCAGGGTTTACCCAAGGCCAGAAGGTAATCCCAGCTAAACCAAACATACACCAGCAATATTGAAAGATGCTGGAAGTGAAGGATCCCCCTTAGTGACCACAGCAAAGCCGTCTGTCACACCGCAAGAGAAAGTAATGGGAAACCCGTTCCATATTTTGCACAGACAAAGTACACGGTGTCCTCGACTTACAACAGTTCATTTAGTGACCATTCAAAGTTACAACGGCACTGAAAAAAAGTGACATGACCGTTTTTCACACTTAATGACCATTGCAGCATCCCCATGGCCATGTGATCAAAATTCAGACACTGGGCAATTGGCTCATATGTATGATGGTGGCAGTGTCCCAGGGTCATGTGATCACCTTCTGACAAGTAAAGTCAATGGGGAAGCCAGATTCCCTTAACGACCATATTGCTAACTTAAGGGATTCACTTAATAACTATGGCAAGAAAGGTCGTAAAAATGGGGCAACATTCACTTAACAATTGTCTTACTTAATAAGAGAAATGTTGGGCTCAATTGTGGTCGTAAAGTCGAGGACTACCTGTAAAGTGTTTGAAAATACAGCGCTGGATGATGGGCCCCCTCAAGTTTGATGGCATTCAACAAATTATTAAAGAAGAGCTGGGGATCTTTTAGAGTTTTAAAGGTGTTTATAATGAGGTAAATTGAAGCTTCTAGAGGTTTAATTGCTGATCTTGCCATGCAGGGGTGGAAACCCCCCCCAAAAAACTCTAGTAGAATCACCTAGCAGGTTGTTGTTAGGGGGGAAATTGGAGGAGGGAGATGTATTAGATATTGTCTTCACCTTGAGTTATTTATAAAAATAATAATAAAAGTGAAATACAAATAAAT